CTAGGGATAAGGTAAAATTTACACGTATTTTAGCTAAAAAATAGAAAATCATTCCCCTCCCTTTCTGTTGCTTCATTCATCAGACACTTTTTGGCAGTCTTCTTGAACTGGTTCAAGCTATGACTGGCCTTGACATTTGTGGGTAGTCTGTTCCATTCCTTTATTGCTGTACAATAAAAGGTGTTTGAAGCCTGGCCACTGACTGTGGGTACTACAAAGTTGTGCTCTCTCCCCCTAGTACTATGATTGCTGCGGTTCCCAACCTTGACAAAATTGACAGCAAGGTGATTGCTCATGAACTGGTAGACAACAGGTGACTGCTCATAAACTGGTAGACAACAGGTGACTGGTGCTCATAAACTGGTAGACAACAGGTGACTGGTGCTCATAAACTAGTAGACAACATGTGACTGGTGCTCATAAACTGGTAGACAACAGGTGACTGGCGCTCATAAACTGGTAGACAACAGGTGACTGGCACTCATAAATTGGTAGACAACAGGTGACTGGTGCTCATAAACTGGTAGACAACAGGTGACTGGTGCTCATAAACTGGTAGACAACAGGTGACTGGCGCTCATAAACTGGTAGACAAGAGGTGACTGGCGCTCATAAACTGGTAGACAACAGGTGACTGGCGCTCATAAACTGGTAGACAACATGTGACTGGTGCTCATAAACTGGTAGACAACAGGTGACTGCTCATGAACTGGTAGACAACAGGTGACTGGCGCTCATAAACTGGTAGACAACAGGTGACTGGCGCTCATAAACTGGTAGACAACAGGTGACTGGTGCTCATAAACTGGTAGACAACAGGTGACTGGCGCTCATAAACTGGTAGACAACAGGTGACTGGTGCTCATAAACTGGTAGACAACAGGTGACTGGTGCTCATAAACTGGTAGATAACAGGTGACTGGTGCTCATGAACTGGTAGACAACAGGTGACTGGTGCTCATAAACTGGTAGACAACAGGTGACTGGTGCTCATAAACTGCTAGACAACAGGTGACTGGCGCTCATAAACTGGTAGACAACAGGTGACTGGCGCTCATAAACTGGTAGACAACAGGTGACTGGTGCTCATAAACTGCTAGACAACAGGTGACTGGCACTCATAAACTGGTAGACAACAGTTGACTGGCGCTCATAAACTGGTAGACAACAGGTGACTGGTGCTCAAACTGGTAGACAACAGGTGACTGGTGCTCATGAACTGTGCTCACCTATTTGTGGTTGCAGGGGTCGGGTCGCAGCTCCTGTCTCCTGGGGGTAGGTATTACGTTCTTAATTATGATGTTATTATTTTTGCTATTATTTCTACTGTTCGTTCTGCTGTTCTCTGTTCTTTTGTTTTGTTTTCTGTTGTTCTCTCTGGTGTTGCGTTTGTTCTCAAGGACAGATTCTTATCTTCCTTGGAAAAGCTGTGTGTGTGTGTGTGTGTGTGTGTGTGTGTGTACTCACCTAGTTGTACTCACATAGTTGAGGTTGCGGGGGTCGAGTCCGAGCTCCTGGCCCCGCCTCTTCACTGATCGCTACTAGGTCACTCTCCCTGAGCCGTGAGCTTTATCATACCTCCTGGAGTTTACCTGGAGAGAGTTCCGGGGGTCAACACCCCCGCGGCCCGGTCTGTGACCAGGCCTCCTGGTGGATCAGAGCCTGATCAACCAGGCTGTTGCTGCTGGCTGCACGCAAACCAACGTACGAGCCATAGCCCGGCTGGTCAGGAACCGACTTTAGGTGCTTGTCCAGTGCCAGCTTGAAGACTGCCAGGGGTCTGTTGGTAATCCCCCTTATGTATGCTGGGAGGCAGTTGAACAGTCTCGGGCCCCTGAAACTTATTGTATGGTCTCTTAACGTGCTAGTGACACCCCTGCTTTTCATTGGGGGGATGTTGCATTGTCTGCCAAGTCTTTTGCTTTCGTAGTGAGTGATTTTCGTGTGCAAGTTCGGTACTAGTCTCTCTAGGATTTTCCAGGTGTATATAATCATGTATCTCTCCCTCCTGCGTTCCAGGGAATACAGGTTTAGGAACCTCAAGCGGAGGAGGAGGAAGAAGGAGGAGGAGGAGGAAGGAGGAGGAGGAGGAAGGAGGAGGAGGAAGAAGGAGGAGGAGGAAGGAGAAGGAGGGGAGGAGGAGGAAGGAGGAGGAGGAGGAGGAGGAGAGAGGAAGAAGGAAGAAGGAGGAAGAAGGAGGAGGAGAAGAAGGAGGAGGAGGAGGAGGAAGGAGGAGGAGAAAGGAGGGAGGAGGAAGAAGGAGGAGGAGGAAGAAGGAAGAGGAGGAGAAAGGAGGAAAGAGAGGAGAAAGGTGGAGGAGGAAAGAGGAAAAAGGAGGAGGAGGAAAAAGGAGGAGGAAAAAGGAGGAGAGGAAAAAGGAGGAGGAGAAAGGAGGAAGAGGAAAAAGGAGGAGGAGGAGAAAGGAGGAGGAGAGAAAGGAGGAAGAGGAAAAATTAGTAGGAGGAAAGAGGAGGAGGAAAAAGGAGGAGGAGGAAAAAGGAGGAGGAAAAAGAAGAAGGAAAAAAGAAGAAGGAAAAAAGAAAGAAAAGCAAAGTCTTGGCGTTGAATCAAAAGTCAAATTACAACTGTAATTTGTCACTAAAACTGCGTACATGAAGGGAATAGTAATAATAATGATAATAAAATAAAGGAACCCAACCCTAACAAACGTAGAAATAGAAAGACCTAAGAAATATAATCACGACATACAAAATACTCAAAAGACTGGATAGAGAAACTAGGTTCAAGCTGTTTGAAGGTCGACAGACCCTCTCCGAGACTCATTCTCAGGGTCGGCCAAATTTAAAAAAAAAAAAAATTCTTATGAAAAGATAAGAGAATCTTTTCCTGATCATAATGACACCAAAAGTATGAAATTTGATGGAAAACTTACGGAATTATGCTCTCACGAAGTTAGCGGTCTCGGTGATGTTTACGCATCAGCGATTTTTACCCACTTTCAGCCCCATTTTCAGCCAATTCCACTGTACTAGTTGACAAAAAACATAAATATGTTGCTAGAACTCCATTTTTTTCTATTGAATGAGTGCAAGAAACCACCCATTTACCATTTTCAACTATCCAGTACAGTGGTCAGAATTTAGCAATTTTGCCAATTTCACACAAATTTCAAAAGATGCCAATTTCCAAATAGGGTCCAGAATAAACAAGAAAGACATTCCTGGCACTAAAATGACATTTCCTCTGTTCATTAGTCACGTCTCAAGGCCCCTCTTACATTCTTTTGCTTTCCACTTTGAATTTTTATTCTCACAAAAAATAGAAGATTTACTGTTATGCAGACTACTGCATTAGTGTAAAAAATTGTATAAATAATATTGGCACACTTGCGAAAGAATATTAGACTCACCAGTTGACGTGTATTGGACGCTTGGCATGATTTGTTTACTTTTGAACTTTGGTAAAAATCGAACATTTCTGCTACTTTGAGCTCAATTTCAAGGTACTTTTCATTGTAAAACCAGTCAAAATCATCTCAATTTCTGTAATGTCTTCCATTCTATAAAATGAGACCAAGAAAACTAGAATACAACAATAAATACCATACGAAAATACAGTGCAAAGTCGTTGCTTTATTCCAAGAAAACGGTCAGTTTTTTTTTTTTCTCATTATGCACTGTGTGCTGCAAGATTTTTTTTATACTGTGCACACTGACCACATAGACCCATTCTTTCATATGTAGGCCTACCAGCTTTTTCCCACTAGAGTTGAGGGCGCTAGAATTTAGGCGTACTAGTACGTCAAAAACCCTGGTGTGTAAGCCGTACTAGTATGGCCGAAACCCTCAAAGGGTTAAACCCACTGAATACAATATAAAACAGGCATTTAAACAAGTACATATTGTATATTTCAGTCTCACAATGAGTGCCTATGTAGCAGTCTAAAGAGTAAGACAGAGAAGCAGTTTATATACAGTTGTGCACATCAGACAGTTAGTAAATGCAAAAGCTAAGGCTAGATGCTAGAGATTTTTTGATGGCCTTGTGTGATATTTGACTGTGATGCTGTCATAGTTGATCTTGGATTTTGTGTTTGTATAGTACAATACAAAAATGTGTGCCTCACTAGCTGGACCTTTCCATGTCAGGGTGGTTACGGACACTTGAAAATAAATCGGAAATATCTGCTCATTACTTTCACCAAGCAGTACTCCAACTTGCTTGGAGCTTGCATCAACCACCATAGCCTAGTTGGCTCTTCACCTCCTCTTTGCACTGACTATTCCTCTATTGATACTTGTAGAAGTTGTTCTCATGGGAAGAGTCTACACTTGGATCCCACACAGACTCCAGGAAAGGCAAATTATCACCTTTGGTAAACCTGTCTTTCTGTTGGCTGACAAGACATTTGAACAAATGGATTAACGCATATGGGCACCGACCCTAACTTTCTCACCCTACGGCTGCCTTAGCTGAAACAGAAGCCTGTTTACAGACAGATATGCGAGAGATTGGTATGCACTGTGCTGTACATAACTGCTTCCGTGTGTATGCCATGAATGTTGACCCATGCTATATGTACTTTCCATAAGCATAATTATTTTTCTACTGTATTGACAAAACTGCCAAAATTGGGTGAGGTTTATAAATATAATGCAATAGATCCCAGGATGTAACCTAAATTGATTTACCAAACTCTTTCTATAGTTGAGTCTTAGTATTTAACCATATTACTTCTTGATTATCTTATAATGAACTTTTTTTAGTAGTGCATAATTATATGGTACAGTATTCATGAAAACAGTAAACTTGTGTAGGTTATTAAGAGCTGTTCTTATAGTTACTAACCCCTCAAGGAAGGTTCCTTGATGTTGGTGAGGGGCTCTTGATTTAGGGAATTGGATCTGTGCTCCAGTTCCCCGAATTAAGCCTGAATGCCTTCCACATCCCCCCTCCAGGCGCTGTATAATCCTCCGGGTTTAGCGCTTCCCCCTTGATTATAATAATAATAATATAGTTACTAAAAACTAATTCAACAGATGGGGTGTGTGGCTGAAAGCAAAGGAGGTCAAGTGGCATTTGGGACAGCAGAGCATCTGCTGGACATGGCTCACACACTAGTGGATACATATGTGCCTCCTGCCAAAGGAAACCTTCATGAAACAGGTAGGTACTTGTACATTGAGGCAGAAAACAGACCCCCTCTCCCTTAACTTTACAGTAGAACCCATTTCCACGGATTCAGTTATCCATGGTTTACCCTGGCCCAAAAATAATCCTTAATTTTACTTAATAATGGTCCTAAAGTGCAAAAGTAGTGATGCTGGTATTTCTTCAAAGCCTAAGAGAAGCCATGAAATGCTTCCCATCAGTGAAAAAAAAGTGCTAATTCTAGACTTATTTTGCATAATTTATCAATTAAACTTTATCATAGGTATGTATGTAAACGAAAAATGACATGTATAGGGTTCGCTACTTGGAACATATCCCTGTGGATATGGGGGGACTACTGTACATATATGGTAGTGTAAATGAATGACTGTGAGCTGAGATGGTGGTAAGATGACACTTTCAGAAAAGTCTTTTTAAACCAATATACATCTTAACGTTTTAACAAAGATATGCAAGCATAGTACATGTCAAACTTATCAACTTGTCAGTATTGTAAAATACATTCAGAACTTTGTATAACTGCTAATAACATTACATTCCCTGCAATAAATTCAGTTTTTTGTATAGAAGGCAGAGGCGGGTCACTTGGGCTGAAGGCAGTGGCACTGACCAACAAGATACATCGACGTTTCAAGCGGCATATTCACACACAGCTAAATGTTAACTCTAAAGATGACTTGGATGATGATGATGTTATCATCACTTCTGGGCACCTGGTTAGTTCTGTTTCTGAGATTGTACTGAGCATGTTTTTAGAATGATGAAAATGCACTTCATTTAAAAAAATGACCAAGTTCAAAGTTGAGATGCTGTAATAATGAATTGATATTGGAATCACAATACATGTACAATAGCTCAAGATAAATATTTCTCAAAATTCCCTAATTATATACTTCAGCCTCTTCTGATGGGGTTATCCATGCATTGCAAATCTTGAGTTGTTTCACAGTGATTCAGTGACATGCCATGACTACTTTGTTCACATTGTTCATTTTAGAAAAATCTCACTTGACAGCTGGAGCTTGGACGACGTTCTCTATTCAGCTGGTACCTTTATATAAGCCAACAGCAGCATGTCCAGCAGGTGATGGAAGGAGCCAATGCTGTGAGGAAGCTGGTGTTGAATGGAGCAAAAACACTGTACACTGCCATGATTCACAGAGCAGGCACAGTCTGTGCATTTTTAACAAGAGACGTGGAAAGCGTAGAGAGAAGTGGTAGGGTAGGTTCAATAAAGGGTGGATTTAAAAAATCGAGTGATGTAGGGAGGGACGCTCTAGACATGTTGAATAAAGAATCAAGCAGTGTGGCTCTGGCTTGCACTTTGGTAACAAATAGAATAAATGTTGCTCACCGAGTTATGAAATGTGGATTGGATGTTGTATACACTTTGACAGTAAGGGTAACAGAAAAAACGTACAGTGGGATAACAGAAGTAGCCAGTATGGCACACACTGTGTTAAGTGGAACAGGCATAGTTCATAATATAATGAATGCAAGGATCATTGGATGCACAGTGCCCAAAAGTACCACAAAACACACAAATATTGTTCGACCAACCATCATCAGATTCCCTATCTCTGAGTATGCTTGTATGAGTTCTGTTGCTGCTCAATTGAAAAAAGACAAGGCCACTACCCAGGCTGCTCTCTGGTACTCCTGGGGTGTATCTAGAGGAATGATGGCATGGGTGGCATCAGTCATTCATTCATACATGACTGATAATTCGTCGGATCTGAAGGTACGTTTATTTGTAACTTAAAGTTGGTAATTGACACGTCATAAGATCCAGTTTTCATTGAGTGGCATGACAACCACCACAGAACTACTAATGGAAATGATGCAAGAATAGTGTTAGAAGAGGGCTTATAGTAATTCCTCCTCTTTTTGTCTAGGAACTGAATTTCACAAAAGCAGCAGCATTCCTTCTGTGGAAAAAGGAAAGTGAGGGTTGGGGGTATTTAGATTAGATCCAAGGTAGGGGAGAAGAGGTTCAATTCCTAGGATCAAAAGCCCTTTCACCAAGGCAAGGTAAATGCGGGAAAGAAGCACTTAACCCATAAAGGTATGACTCCTGATTAAAATACAACGGTACATGTATTTACAGTGATCTCGGTCAGTTTGAGTACTCTTGACCACTGCTACTTTTTTTATGGTCTACAATTTCTTTGGTGATCTATGAGCAATGTGCATATACCTGATGAAAAATGTCAATACTAGTATTTAGGCTAAGATTTTAAAAACAATGACTTAATACATACATGTATATCACTTGTATCCTACCAACACAAACCATGATTATGGGAAATTGTCTGAGAAATGCTTTCCTTTTCAGATATGTAAGGAGTTTGTCATGAGAAATTTGTAGAGACATCCATGAAGTTGGTTTATACATTACATTCAAGACTTGCAAGATCAAAATCTTGTCACTTGCTTACCAACTGTTGAGCATTTACTATTATTCCAATCTACTTTGACTTCTTGCACAGTATCTGTATTCAAAAAGGTGCCTTAATACCAGTGAAAGGCATTTGATCCAAAGAACTGGAACTAATTTTTCTCTCTCCTTGGATTCCTCTTCAAGGGGGGCTCCTTGGTGTGGTGAAGAGGCTCTTGGTCTGAGGAATTAGACCTGTTGGTCTTCTTCCTCAGACCGAACCTAATTACCCCCCATTCTCCCCTCCCCTATCCCATCCTCCCCTTTTTCCATTCCTCCTCCTCCTCCCCTCCCCTCCCTTTTGCCCTTCCTCTTTTTGGCCTTTGGGATTTCTCCCACAGGCGCGCTAGTTCCTAGGTAGGGGAAAGGACACCGGGGTCCATCCCATTCCGTTGAGGTTCTTGGCGGTGGCGTAGTTTGCCGTGGAATCTGGATCGCCTGGGGATGTCCTGATCCCTCTCCGGTATCCCAGAGTAGTTTTGGGTGTCTTTCGGGCGACGGGTGTATCTCTGGAAGCCACCTTTCAGATTCCGGGGGTGGTGGCCGAAGGAGGTATGCTTTGTGGCGGATATCCGGCCGCCCTCTCTTTTGTCCACCGAGGTAGCTCGGCAGATGTGAGGTTGCTATCCCGGATTGCTGGTTTACTGGCGTGAAGGGTAGGGTATGACACGGGTTCCATGCTGCATCTGCGCTACTAGCGGTGCTGAGGTCCTCTTGGGCGCAGAGGGAGATTTCCGGCCCTTTCATTCCTCCCCGCTCCCCCCTTTTTTTTATTCTTTTTTTATTTTTATTTTCTTTTTTTCTTTCTTTCTTTTTCTTAAAAAACAAAAAGAAAGGAGTAACCTAACCAGGGAGTACCCAATCCATAAACCCCCCCCCCGGGCCCCTTTTTGATACCGCACCCCATTCTCCCCCTGCCTTGGTTTAGCCCACTCTTTGGAACTCCATGCCCCTGTCCTCTTGCTGGTGCTTTTTCCCCCTTCGCCCCTTCAGTCCCGGGGCTTCGACTGACTCCTTCGTTTTGTCTGAACTTCGCTCTCCTTTGAAAACTTCTGGCTTCCCCCTACTTACGAAATTTTTTTGAATCGCCTGCCCATTTCAGGGCCAACTCCGGTCCTACCCCAAAAACACCAACGCAATCTCCTGAGAGCCCCTTGTTCCCCTTCCATCTACCGGAAAAGCCAACACGTCAAGCACCCCCCCACGCTCGTTTCGGACCACCAATGGACTAAATCTTTACTTTAAGACTGATTCTTTTTCCCCCTCCCTTTCTGACCTGTTTTGGGCAAAGGGGTCCTGCTCATTTTGGTAGAATTTCTTTATTTCATCCTCAAGGGGGTATGCGCATTGCACGTCCAAAAGCTACCCAAGCTCATATCTTTCCTCCTTTCGAATATCATACTTCCATACTATTAAAAAAACATCTTTCTCTAAATTCTTGTGGGGTACTGTCATTCTGCCCCATACCATAGTCCAACAAATTTTCCAGTATGTGGCAATGACATTCTTGAACACGGGAACTCCAGGATCTCCCAATCCTAAAAGTAGCACTTATGTCCTTCCTGCCCGGGGGCAGAGACGTTACCCTTGAAAGGGGCTGTTTTAACTTTTGACAGCCAGAATCCCGCCCTTGTAGTCGCGGGACTTGGTTCAAGTTCGAAAGGTGATACCTACACCGAACAATTTTAAAAATTTGCTGGCTTTTGGTCACCCACAAAATATTGCAGATCTTGGCCAAATGCCCAGTCTGGGGTCCGACGCCCCTTCTAAAACTTCTTCAGTCAACCCCATTTTCCCTTAAATTGTAAGAAGCTCACCCTTCAATCCCGCCGTTGCCAGGTTACTTAAGAACGTGAAATCCTTTCCCTAAAAGGGCAGAATCCCCCTTATCTATGGCGTTTACTCATTCCGCCCCCAAAGGGGAGATACCCCTTTTTTCTTATTCTCGGTTTCCAAACACCCCCCCACTTCTGAGTCCCATCTTCTGCAGCCCCTCTGTTTTTGCCCCTCCCAAGCCACCTTGGCATCTACCCTTTTGCGCCCCTTGCTTGACCCCCCTGACAAAACTCAGTTGTTCTCACTTTTCACGTCCTTCCTCCAAGCCCCAGTATTGACAAGCCCTCGTACGAACCTAATCCCAATCCCCCTCTACTTCTCAGAAGCCAAAAAATCCACGGCTCAAATCTTCTTTGCCCCTTTCCTTCCCTTCTTCCCCTCCACACTTTCCTTTTCCAGTCTCTGTACCTAGTTCTTCCCTCTCTTCTGGCTCTTTTACAATGTGGAGATTCCCCCTCCTCCTCGGACTATCCTTCCCCCCCGTCCCCTCCCAAGTTTCCCCTTTTCTGCCACCTCCGGGTTCTCCCCTTTCTGTCCCCCCCCACACTTCATCTCCACCCCTTTTACATCTTCCCCCCCCCTTACTTTGGTAAGTCCTTTACTGCCCCCAATTTTTCATCACCCTCCCCTTCTATCCCCAAATTTGGCTCCCAACATCTTTAAATTCAGAAACATTTGAACCATTTCAGAATAATGGCCCCCCGCAAATGTTTTCCTCAAATGCGACCAATATGTAAGTTATTATGAAGTGCGTTTGTACGTGTTTTGGGGGGTCTGAAATGGACAATCTACTTTCAATATTTCTTATGGGAAAAAATTTCGGTCAGTAAGGGCACCTAACTCTTTGGAGTGAAACAATTGTTAACCCGGGGGGTCCACTGTAAATTGAGGACTAAACCTTCAATGGACACTGCTTCATCCTGTTCCTTCTTTTCCCCTTCTCCTTTTTCACAACCCCTTCTTCGAAAACCTCTTTTCCCTTTCGCTGCTTGAAGCTTCCAATACCCCACCGTGACTTTTCAAACCCCCTCTAGCCCGTAGGTCCTTTCCTACGATTCCTGGATTTTTTCATTCCCAATCATGGCCTATTTACAGTGGAATATCCGGGGCCTCGGGAATCGGGGTGAGTTCAGATTTGTTTTCCCCGGGTTTTCCCTGTTGGGTGCTTCTTACAAGAAAAAAAATTTACACTCGGCTTTTTTTCCAACCTATTCAGGCTAAATTTATTGTATTCTTCGGATCCTTTCTCAGATGGGACCTTTAAGAAAGTGCCCTTCTTCTACGCAATGATTCCGTTTTGTCAACTTTTTGTCCAACCTCTCGCATTACACTGCACCCCAATCCACTTGAATAAGTGGTTAAATATTTTCTTTAATCTCTCCCCTTCCGAGCTTTTTCTACCCGACTTTGCCTTTCTTGTTTCTCCTTACCACCACCCTTCTTTTTATTTGGTGTTTTAAATGCCCCCCCTTTTCCTTGGGGGGGGTCTCATGTGACTCACGTGGCATCCAGTTGGGGGCTTTTCCCCCTCTCCCCCCCTCCATTTTTTTAAATAGGGGTTTCCCCCACCTATTTTGATCCTCGACTTCCCCCTCCTCTTTTGCATGATCTATCGCTGCTTTTCCTCCACTGCACTAGACTTCACCTGGTTTTCTACCGGGACTTACATGACGCGACATTTTCCAATCATTCTTACTTCCCTTCCTTTTCACCCCTTTCCGTAGCCCCGCTGGCAATTTGACGGGCCAAATTGGGATCTTTATTCAATCACTCTTTTATGGGGTTCCCTTTCTTATTCCCCATGATAGCTCCACACCTTTTCTCGACGTCATTTTTATCCCGCCCTTCTATCTATACCCCAAACCTCGGCGGGCATTCCCAGAATGTGTCCTTTGGTGGTCTCCTGCTTTGGGGCCGGCACTATTTTTGAACCCTGCAGGGGGCAGGCCCGGGACAATAGAAAGCGAGAGACTTTTATTTTAAGCGAAGCGTGCGATCGCCCCGTGTCATCCGTGAAGCTAAACGCATTTGTTGGGAGACTATGTTTCCACCATCACCTCTGCGTCTTCAGAGTGCAGTCTGGAAAAAAATGGGAAATTGGTGGTAAATTCCTCCTGACCCAGCTCCTGTTCTACGGTCGCTGGTGTTGATGTAGCAAACCCCTCGACGTTGCCCATTGAACTTGCCAAAGGGTCCTATTTCGAAAGGGGCTCCATCTATGCCCCTCTTTTCTTTCCTAAAGTCTGCCAAGAGTTAGTACCCTTGGACTTTTTTTCTCTAAAGGGAAAACGAAAAATGTCCCTTTTTACACTTCAAAAAACTAGGGCAACCTCTCAGCTTGCCGTCATCGGCAGTTGGGCCCTACAAATTTCTATTGTATTTTACAACATTTACACCGGTCCCCCTTTGTAGTCCTCTTACCCCCTTTTCAATCTTTTTTGGGGCAAAAGGAGTTCTTCCCCAGCTTGGAAATCTGCCTTTGCCCCCTTTTCGCAAACCGGGGGACTTCAGGACATATGCCTCTCCTATCGTCCCATCGCTCTTATAGTGTAGTTTTTCAATGGATGGAACGTCTCGTAAATCGACGTTAATGTGGTATTTAGACACAAACAGTCCCCCTTTCCCCTAGTCAATATGGGTTTCGTAAGAACCCCTTTTCACTTGGGTATGTATGTTTAATGCCTTTGCGAAAATCACTCGGTTATTGCCATATTTTTTTACCTTTAGAAGGCAATGACCAACTTGGAGGGTTTTTAATAATTTGGCCCAGCCCATTCCTTTTGGCCCCAAAAGGAATCTACCTCCCTTTCCTTAAAAACTTTTTAACTGACGACATTTTCCCGGGTTTGAGCAATACTGTTCTTTCCCCGGACTTTGTCCAAAACTGAAAGGGGTCCCTCAGGTGTGTTCTAAACACAACACTTTTTCCTTGTTAAATGATTTGGCCTCGTTTTTCCCCCCCAAATTTGGTCATCATCTAGTTTATGATTCGCTATTGCTGTGCAGGGGCCCCGACGTCAACTTTTTGCAGTTTTTTTCCAGCATGCGGTCGACCGTGTTTTCCCCTTGGGCCCCCATGCATGGGTTTAAATTTTCAAGTACCAAAACTCACCAAATTACTTTCACAACGCTCTGTTATCTCTGATATCCTTTTTATCTCTATGGCTCTCGTTCCCCGAACGTGATACAGTCAGGGTTTTTAGGCCTTTTTCTTTTACCTAGGTTATCCTGGAAACCTACATTCCTCTCTGAAGGCAACTTTCACAGCCGGCTAAACCCCTAAAAAACCGCTCATTTTCCCCGGGGGGGCTATCGCGAACCTGCTTTGCCTACATTCAGCCCCCGTTTTACGAAAAATCATTTGGTGACCAATTTTTTCCGCGGCCTCTCCCCTACTCTCTCTAGCCCTTTAAATCTATCCATCACCAAGGATTCGTTGTGCCCCGGGGCTTTTTGCTCTTCCCCGTTTAGGCCCTATGCAAAGGAATGTTCCATCCTTGTTGATCGCTGCGAGCCCCCTTGCCCTTTGCTACTAGTACGCCCCCACGATCTCCACAATTTCCATTTTAAATGGTCAACCCTATAGTAGACATTCTTTTTTTCGTTCGCCGCCCCTGTTTGCTCTTCCCCTTTTCTCTTCGCCTACATTCCTCTGTCTTCCCTTTAGTTTCCCCCTTTATATGTTCATGTAATTTTCACTTTTCCCACCCCTCTGGAATTCCACTGTTCAGTTGTTTTTTCTCACCCTTGCTCAAAAGCTCCGCCTACGGTGGCTTCCCCTCTCTTTTTTTATCATTCCCCTCCCATTCTCATGCCACCCCCTGTGTAACAGAGGGTCTAATCTTCAGACGGCGTCGGATTCACAGCAGTGTTTTGGCACGTCGTGCGGGGGGATTTTCTATCTTCGGCTAGCATTTTTACTGCTAACTGTATGCCATTCTTGCAGCACTTTTTCGTATGCATCTATGCTGTGTCATCATTTTTGGTAGTTCCGACTCCCTTGTCTCTACAGGCATACGAAAATTTGATAC